CCCGGATTCGATTCTGGTCAACGGGCACATGCCTAGGTTGTGGGCTCGATCCCTAATAGGGGGTATGCAGGAAGCAGCCGATCAATGATTCTCTTTCATCATTGAGGTTTCTATCTCACTCTCCCTCTCCCTTCCTCTCTGAAATAAATAAAAAAATATTTTTAAAAAATGACAACAGCCAACACAACAATCGCCATCTGATATGAATGAACCAAAATTATACCTTTTTTTTTTTCAAATCGGCAAAAAATATATTTTTGGTGTGATGCAGAATTTTAGTCATTAGTTTATGTGTGCCATGAGATGGAAGAGGTTGAAAATCATTGGTTTAGGGAATAATGACGGAGGGGAGCAGGGGGGTTGCGGAGGAATCTGTACATGTTAAGTAGGCCTAACTACACAGTATGTGTCAGCAACAGTGTACCTTTTGTTTGTTTGTTTGTTTTTGTTTCCTGTTTGGTTGAATCCATGGATGTGGAACCTGCAGATAGGAGGGTCGACTATATTATTATGCCTTACTTGGGACAGTTCTGAACTTCATTATCTATTCTTCAAAGAGCCAAAAATATTTGTTTTATTTTAAAGGATTTCTACTGTGTATACTTTATTTTTTTTTTAATATTTTATTGATTTTTCACAGAGAGGAAGGGAGAGAGATAGCTAGAAACATCGATGAGAGAGAAACATCGATCAGCTGCCTCCTGCACAACCAAGGTCCATGCCCCTGACCAGAATTGAACCTGGGACCCTTCAGTCCGCAGGCCGACGCTCTATCCACTGAGCCAAACCGGTTATGGCTACTGTGTATACTTTAGAAAAAGACTAACAGAATCGTCTTTCAAATGTTCTCCAAAGTCCCTTGCTGTCTTGTTACTTAATTCATTTGTACTGCAAATCCTTTCATTCCTTTTTCTCTTTACCTAAATGCTATATGAATTATCTAAATTATAGAGCTGAGTGTTGTTTTTCACTTTTGACCTGCAGTCCCTAAAGGATAAGTTAATACAAGAGAAAAAGCTGTCCAACATGTACCAAGAGCAGTGCATTTCCCTAGAAGAAGAACTTGCCCGGATTCGTGAGGAAGAAGGAATGAGGAGAGAGATCTTCAAGGTATAAAATTCTCTGCCACTTATGATAGTGTGTGAAGTCTGATGGCTCAGGGAATGCTCCCCTCATCTTCATACGCCTTCCCATTTGCCTGTATTTAGGATCGCTCTAACAAGATGGGGAAGCGTTTACAACTAATGACAAAACGCTATGAGGCCTTGGAGAATCGGCGTATCTTGGAAGTAGAAGGCTTTAAAACAGATATTAAGGTTCTCAGGCAGAAACTGAAAGACTTGGAACAAATGCTCTATAAGGTAATTCCGAATCCTGAATTACTAAAAGGGATAAAGGGGTACAAGTGAGAAAACATGCTCAACAGGGCTCCTCAGAAGAAAGATGTGCTGTTTCCCTGATAGTAGGTACTGATGGGTCAGCATCCTTTCAGTCTCACTAAAATTAGTTTAACAAGTACATACTAGCCCGGCTGGCGTGGCTCAGTGTTTGAGTGTCCACCTATGAACCAGGAGGTCATAGTTTGATTCCCATCAGGGCACATGCCTGGGTTGCAGGCTCGATCCCTAGTGTGGGGCGTGCAGGAGGCAGCTTACCGATGATTCTCTTTCATCATTGATGTTTCTAACTCTTTATCCCTTCCCCTTCCTCTCTGGGATCAATAAAAATATATTTTTAAAACAAGTACACACTAGAGAGAAGACAAAAATAATTGAATGACTGCATCATTATACTTTCATCTAAGCTAAAATTAACAGAAATTTTCATCCCTCCCAATTGAAGAAGTAGATTAAAAGAACCATGTCTTTTTTACAAGCAAGGAAAGTGAGTAATTGAATAATAAAGTAATTTTCCCTACCATACACAGCTTTATTTAGAAACAAAGTTGCCTCAAGAACCTTTTTACAGAGACTTAAATCAGTTGTCCACCTATCATCACTATACTCCAAAGTTGGTTGTAAAAAAGAAGAGGTACTTTCTTTGACAAATTTACCAGTGATGTTTATATTTGTCTCTTTTATTCTACATTACTATCTTTTTGTTAGTTACTAAAACTAAGAACTGAATTTACCTTGAGTACCAAATGTCTCATAAAGTATGATGTCCCATCATAGTTTGGTCTTTATGACTGATTCCTCTCCTCTGGCATATGCTGTAATCATTTCTTCTTCTTCTTCTTCTTTTAAATCTCAGGTAACAGTTAATGCCCGGGCAAACCAGGATCTTGCCATTCTGTGTGAGGTTCGTGACAGCAATAAACGAGCACATAAGATACAAGGGGAACTGAAGAACCTAAAGTCCAAAGTATTTGGTCTGGAGAATGAACTTAGACTCTGTTGATATTTATTTTAGAAACGGCCCTGGTCTGTAGTGAGTCTTTTTCGTGAAATCTGAGAAAAATGTCATCTTCTCCCAGAAACTGTGGGCAGAGTTGACTAGAATGGTGGTACCCACTATTATAAAGACAGGGTGAAGAATCAGGGACCACTAAAAAAGCCGTTCCTGCGTACTAAACTGTATAATTTTTGCTGTCCTAGTCACCGTTTTTGCTTTTATGTATGTGTGTTTTGTTAGTCTGGATTATAACCTAAATTACTTAGAGACCACATATTTTTCCCATTTATAATGAGAGGTTTTTGTTTTTTAAGAACAGTGACCGTGAAAACTTAAGAAGGAAGGATGTTTGCTATGAGCGTGGCTGAGTGTTGTTAGGAGGAACACTTTCCTTGAGGAGACAAAGGGGTGTGAATAGGCAGTAATTCTGCTATGCAATTTTCTTCACTTGAGAGTTGGGAGGCCTGAATTACTTTTATGGACACCCAATCTCAAAGTTTCACCAGAGGGCGATAGAGACCCTGCTCTTAGGCAAAATGTATCTAGGAAAATAAAGTTGCTACTCTGGTTAAGAGTGAGTAAAACTTAAATAATCCTTGTATGAAAAGTTCAGTATTGTACCAATAACATTTTTAAATAATTTATATATTTTAAATTAACTGTTTTTTAATAAAATATGTAAATGAAAATATTCTCTTTGAGTTTTCTATAATTTCGTGTTAAAAGCACATTTATACTTTGTTAGTGACTCGGTTTACTTGTTCCATGGTCTCTACAGTCCTGTACAAGTATCAAAGTTTTCCTAAATGTGTCCCTTGAAGTTGTCTGGTATTGGAGGTAGCAAAGATAGTACTAAAGATGATGACACTAATACTTTTCCATTTTTCCATCTATATCCTCTTTTAGGCAAATTGCTATGCATTTGAGTCAAAGTAATTGTGTGTGTACCTGGACAGCCTCTGGGAAATTAGTTGGTCTTAGCTTAGTATGGCATCTTATGATTTACCCGGGACAAATCAATAGAAAGAACTTAGGTTTTCATATTTGTGTTAAGGAAAGGGGTAATTAAGTGGTCGGTAGGAGATGCTACCTTAAAAAAAGAGAGAGCTGATGATAGCAGATCAGGGTTTTTTCACTAATAAATTGGGACAGAAATTCCCAGAGGGACCAGTCCTAAGCTTTAAGAGGGATGTACATAGTGGATGGTTCTTCCTTGTGCCCCAATACTTTAGGAATTGTCTTTTCATTACTTACTGTTTTGATGCTGGGCAAAACACCGACTCTATTGAATCATAATTTCAAAGAAAGAAGGAATTAGAGATCATATATATATATATATATATATATATATATATATATACTAGAGGCCCGGTGCACAAAAATTTGTGCACTCGGGGGGTGGTGGGGGGGGGTCCCTCAGCCTGGCCTGTGCCCTCTCGCAGTCTGGGACCCCTCGGGAGATAACGACCTGCTGGCTTAGGCCTGCTCCCGGGTGGCAGAGGGCACACTCAATCCCTAGGTGCAGCCCCTGGTCGGGCTCAGAGCAGGGCTGATTGGGGAGTTGGGGCGCCGCCCCCTGTCATGCACAGAGCAGGCGGATTGGGAGGTTGCAATGCCACCCTCAGTCACGCTCAGGGTAGGCCGATTGGGGGTTGGGCACCGCCCCTTTCACACTCAAGGCAGGGTCGATG